CGAGGGGGTGTCAGAGGTCCACTGGAGATCCCCGATGATCCTAGGGAAGGGTTACAGGCACGTTGGCCTGGGGGGTTATGGGCGCACTCACCCACTACACAAACAAGCCCTTTTATCCCAGTGGTTAGTGGTTGGGATTCTGACAGAGCATGCGAAAGATCGAGAGTGACACGAAGGTCAACGGTCGAAGACAGTCAAGGTCAACGGTTGAAGATATGGCTGGCTAGATTGCTATTTACCGTATGGCCCCGGATATAGGCGCCATCCAATTAAAGGCGCCGGCGCCTCTATTTGGGCCGGAACTCAATTATAAGCGCACCCCCTGAAATTTCTGTCCTTAATATAAGCGCATCCCTTAACCTTACATTGGAGGCATTACAAACGATATCACTAAATTGTCTCTTTTTCTTAGCAACTACAACATCATATTGAGATCTCCTAACAACAAGTCTAGCCGGGGTACTTCTACCTAACATGGATCATCTAGTACCCCTCCTACTCCTTCTCGGCGGATTTGGGCTCCTGGCAGTTGTTGCCTAAAAAACCATCAGCGATGATGTCATCGTCGACATCCACCTCCGCTGTTTGCTGGCTGTGCCTGTGCGCCATGGCGAGTCCGTCGTCACTGCCGTCAAGCTGGTTGCTGATGCCATAGGTGAGGAAGGCACGCGTGACGAGGTCGGGCGGCACTGCCTGCCAGGCCTGAGATTTCCACCGCAGGACGACCTCAGCTGGAGGTTTCTTCAGGTTCCCTGAAACATTATAGGAGAACGGTGGAAAGCCGTTAGTGCATCAAAAAAGAATTTGGAAGGGGGGGGGGGGGGGGAGTAGAACAATACCGTACTCATCCCATACCCGCCGCTGTCAGCTGCGCTTGCCCCTCCGCCTCAAACCACCTCTGGTACTGATGGCGGACCGACGCCTTAAAGCTCTTGTTGATGGAGACATCGAGCGGCTGTACCTCCGCCGTACAACTTGACGGGATGATTGCCGGCACGCAGTTCATCTCGCGGAGCTTCTCCTTCACATCCTCGGTGAGGTGACTGCGGTAAGAATCCAGCACCAGCATCGAGCTCTTGGCGTGTCTGCCGAACCGAGGCTTCAAGAAAGGCTTGACGCCCTCCTCAAGCCAGCGAACGACGCCCGCGGAGTCCATCCACCCGTTCTCGTGGCAAGCCACGACCACATCTGCACGAAACACGTACGGGTGGTTAGAATTCGCACTCATAACAGAACGCAGTTAACGAGGAGTGCACCTCTTTACTTACCGGCAGGGAAGTCACCCTTCGGCAAGGTTTTGCGCTTGAAGAACACCCACGGCTTCAGCTTCCGTCCGTCAGCCGCGCACGCCAGCATCACGGTCACTCGCTGCTTCTGATACCCCGCGCTCCTGATAGGCACCGAGCGAGCACCCGTTTCCTCCACGGTGGTGGTGGCGGGCATCTCCAGCCATAGCGGCGTCTGATCCGCGTTGATGATCCACGCGGTGTCGATGCCGCGCTCTCGACGCTTGGTACGCACGAACTGCCAGAAGCTGCGGCACTGCTCAGCGACATCTGTACAGCGGTAGAAGAGAGGACGGACACAGACGGAGGGTCTTAGTACAAATATACAAAAACCACGTGGCAAGTTAAACGGGGTATTTCTTACGCGCGACAGTTTTTTGGGCAACCTGGGTCTTCATGCGGACGCTCAGATTCCATTGACGCCGAAAGCGCTTCGACCACCTATGGCTTCCTTTCCACTTCTTGTCCGGGTACAGAATCTTCATGAACTCCCGCGACCACTCCTGCAGGCGGCCGACTGACACGGCAGAACCCTTGCGGCGCCACTCGAGCAGCTTCTCGTACACCTTCAACTCCATCGGCCGGTACCACGACGCTCGCCCGCGGCCGTGCATGCGCTTTCGGGCGGAGTGAGCTTCCTTGAGGAAATCCGCCGCCCGCTTCCAGTTGGTGAGGCATTTGCGGCGGATTCCGCTCTCGCAAGCCAAGGCGCGCACCGACACCGCCCCATCAAGCAACGCAACCCACTTCAACTTCTCCGCGGCGGTGTAACCTTGCCGCTTGTGCTCGGTGAGCTTGTGCCTGGGAGAGGGGGGGCGGGCATCACGGTTCTGTGAAGAGGGGTGGGGTCGCTTGCGATTAAGGGGAGGATAGGTGGGTATGGGCAGTTTCTCGGGTAGCCCATCGCGTGACCAGTACTCAACGCCGTCGTCGTCACCGTCGCCCGTAACACCTTCTGGAAACACATCCTCAGCGGTGCCGCCCTCGGCGGAAGCCTCCGTGTCACCCTCGGCGCCGTCAGCGCTGCTCGCTTCCTCAGCGTCAGCAACATCATCGTCGGCGCCGACTGCAGATTCGTCCCAAGGGCAATTGTCGGGCTGTCCCCAACGTCCTCCAGGCACGTGGTCCACTCGCACGTACTCATCTTGCGCGTTCTTAGACTCCGGTTCGGAGAGGAATTAGTCAAACGCCGATGGAATCAGCAGCGTGAGCACGAGGTGATTGCCAGTGTGTTGCGCAGATACAGGACCCGGAGGCGAAGGAGGAAGAGGAGGCGCAGGAGGTGCAGGAGGCGAAGGAGGAGCAGGAGGTGCAGGAGGCTGTGGTGGCTCTGGTGGTTCTGGCGGGATACGGGAGTACCACTTCGTCAGCGTCTACTCTAAACGCGGGCCTTCGAGTAGGCTTTTTCTTGAACAAAAAGTGTGTGCCGCTGAATTCCGCCATGGCTTCCGCAGCCAGGCGGGAGTGACCAAGAAACTGAACAAGAAACTGAGAGAAATGGAGAACAAATGAGAGATTCACAGGGACCCCTTCTGGGTAGCATCTCGAGGTCCTCGTCGGGGCGAGATGGGTACCCCCTGTCTGAACCCGGAGAGGAGGGTATCGTGGCACGAACATGATGCGCTGGCAGGTCATTCCACCGCCTTCTCGATGGTTCGGGTGAAATGCAGCTGCCTGCCATCGCATGAAAGCCTGATTGGGCCGCATGGCAAATTTCACGTCAGCGCTGGCATATGCGCTGCTCCTGGACGGGGTTTGTGCGGTCGGGAATCGAAGCGCGGCAGTTTTCGGCGGGATTTCGTGCATTATCTCATGCGCACGTTACACAATTGTGTTCGCCTTACTGCGGGCTTCGATTTGGTACTGTAAAATAACAAATTCATTATAAGCGCCAGCGCTTATGGCCGTAATTCAATTACAAGCGCCACCTCTAGAAACAAAATGATTTTTGTCAAAATCCCAGCCACTAACCACTGGGATAAAAGGGCTTGTTTGTGTAGCGAGTGAGTGCGCCCATAACCCCCCAGGCCGACGTGCCTGTAACCCTTCCTTAGGATCAATCGGGGATCACCAGTGGACCTCTGACACCCCCCCCCCCCCCCGCACTGGGATGCCCGAGGTGCACACACCGGGATTCGAACCCGAGACCTTCGCTCTGATACCATGTCAGAATCCCAGCCACTAACCACTGGGATAAAAGGGCTTGTTTGTGTGTAGCGGGTAAGTGCGCCCAAAGCCCCTTAGGCCAACTTGCCTGTAACCCTTCCCTAGGATCAATCGGGGATCACCAGTGGACCTCTGACAATTTTATTATAAGCGCATATGTGCCTATATCCGGGGTATTACGGTGGGCCTCAGATTGGTTTTGAGCTAGGCTGATCAATCAGAGTTGGTACAAAAATTTATGCTGAAAAAACAAAAAATATGTCATTTTATGCCATTTTACCCTAGAAAACTCATACTTTTCCCTACTTATTCCGAAAAAACTGCTGGACAATCAGCCCCGCTTCTAAAAAAATTCTGAAACCTCAGCTTTTTTTTTTTTACCTAAATCAGCCTTTTTTTGCTGAAATCTGAGGCCCTCCTTGTACTTCTATCTTATGATCATCTTGTTCTCTTTCAATCACTATCGACATGGTCACTACTAAAGACTCTATTGTCTTCTCTTAGCATACTCATCCTATCCGCTTCGATCCTTTGGATCAGGCCCTCAGAATTCAGACTTTTTTCTCTGATTTGGGCTTTTTTCTCTGATATTTCAGATTTTTTTTCCAGTATACTCTGATAAAATCAGACTTTTTTGGGCCTCAACTCTGTAATTTTCAGACTTTTTTTAAGGCTAACTCTGAGAGTTCAGAGTTTTCTGAGAGTGTACTCTGATCATTCAGAGTACAAACGCGTCCTTGACTGGTGATTCGGACTTACGGGTCACAGCAGATTCGCACTTCCAAAGTAAAATCGCCTTGACACAGCAAATCCAAGCCTTACATCACAAGATTTTTGCCCAATCATAGGCAAATCGCTCTGACACAACAGATTTGCGTTGTCAGAGCACCACAATTTTCGCCCAATCACAGCAAAATCGCCCTGACATTGCACATTCGCCTTTTCGCACCACAAGATTCGCCCTGACACATATGTTCGCCCTGTCAGAGCATGTTTTATCGAAAATCCCCTTAGTGTAGCATGTTTCGGTAGCAGATTAATGAAACATTGAATACACTTCCGATGAAACATTGAATACATTGATTTTGAATGATCAGACTTTTATTTTAAGACGCTGACATTTCAGCCTTTTTTTTTTACTAAGTCAGATTTTCAGACTAAAATTGTGTACTAGTCTGACGAATCAGACAGGCCAAAAACGAATCTGAGGGCCTGCTTTGGATCAGCAAAATTACAGTACAATCCTACATACGCTAGTTCCCAGGAGGTACAGTACGGTACTTCAATGCTTTCGTTGTTCTAAAGCTTCTGCAGCATACCTAGGCTGTTTAGAAGGCTTCGGCTACCAGAATCGGACGAATGGGCTTAACCCGATGTCTGCACAATAGGCTAACACACTCAACGTACAGCACAGGACGTTACAGGGTAGGTATATCCCATCCCATGGCAACCACACAAAACGATCTTCCCTCAACTGCTTGGCTTGCTGTGATGGTGTGAAACGATCCGGGTTGGGTGTCACTTGGGGTTGGGCTTGCCCTCTGAGGGTCACTTGGGGTTGGGCTTGCCGTGTTGCTGCTGGAAGGCGGCGATGCGGCGGCGGGCGACAGCAGCAGCGGAGGAGCGCCGGTAGTCCTCCGCCTCCTCCTCCCACCGCGGCCGGTGCCTCTTCTCCTCCGCCTTGTCCCACTCCATGGCCCGCCTCAGTGGCAGCGCCACCAGCACCACCTGCATGCGTGCAGTGAGGGATGGGAGATGCCAGTAGGGTGAGAGATGCGGGCGGCAGGTGCCGCTTCTCCTTCCCCTTGTCCCACTCCATGGCCCGCCGCAGCGGCAGAGCCACCAGCACCACCTGCTCGCATGCGGCCAGACACGAGGGCAGCGATGCGGGTAGGGTGAGGGATGAGGGTAAGGTGAGGGATGAGGGTGGGTGAGACATGCGAGTAGGTTGAGACATGAGGGCAGGGTGAGGGAGGAAAGTAAGTTGAGAGATGAGGGTAGAGCGAGACAACAGAAAAGGTTGCAAGATGATAGTGAGTTGGGGATGCATGAGATGGACCTGGAAGGAGTTACAGGGGGGAGGGCGCATGCAAGGGGGGATTGGGTGGGGGGGATGGGAGGGGCTGCAAGGCGGAGGGGGCGGGCTGAAAGGGGGGATACGGGGGTGCAAGGAAAGGAGGTGTGCAGAAGGGTGTGAGGGGAGGGAAGGATGGGGAGGGAAGGATTGGGGAAGAGGAGGGAGCGGCGGAGCAAGGATAATGAGCAGCAAGGGAGGGAGGGGGAGGGCGGACCTGCAGCGCGAGGAGGAAGGGGATGAGCAGCTTGCCGGCGCGGTTGGGGTTGAAGCCCCTGGCCATGCGCTCGTCCACGCGCACCACCGGCTGCCGCCTTAAAGCAACCGCTACCAGCGCCTCCACCAAGCATGGCAACCACGCACGCCCGTCCGGTAGGATCTGCACGTGGGAGTGGGGGGGTGGGAGTGGGTTGGGGTTGGGGGTGGGGTGGGTAGGGGGTTGGGGTGGGTTGGGGTTGAAGCCCCTAGTCATGCGCTCGTCCACGCGCACCACCGGCTGCCTCCTCAGCGCCACCGCCACCACCGCCTCCAGCAAGCATGGGAACCACGCACGGCCGTCCGGTAGGATCTGCAGGGCACGGGTGTGGGGTTGGGGTGGGGTGGGGTGGGGTGGGGTGGGGTGGGGTGGGGTGGGGTGGGGTGGGGTGGGGTGGGGTGGGGTGGGGTGGGGTGGGGTGGGGTGGGGTGGGGTGGGGTGGGGTGGGGTGGGGTGGGGTGGGGTGGGGTGGGGTGGTTGAGAGGTGGTTGCACGAGGATGGCTGCTGCCTGAGCGCCTCAGCGCCTCCATGGCCTCCACGGTCCACCAGACACGGGAAGCATGCGCGCCCAGCCGGTAGGATCTGCAGCGGTGTATGGCGTGCGATGGACAACACGTGGTGACACGATGGGTGTGAGACAGGTTGCGAGCAAGGGGCCAAGAGAGAGAGAGAGAGAGAGAGAGAGAGAGAGAGAGAGAGAGACTCGAGCGCTCCTTGAGCAAAGAGTGGCCAGTACGGCCCGTGAGGCACTTCTGAGTCAACTCAAAGGCCCGTGTGAGGCGTGCCATGGGATGGGAAGCAGAGGTGGTAAGCAGCGGGGGCAAGTTGGCGGCCCCACGCATGCGATGCGACGGCACCCAGTGGAGGGGCGAGGAGCAAGGGTGGCAGGAGAGGGACGCTTTGAGAGCATGGATGAGGTGCAGTAGAGCACAGCACTCTGCGACGGCACGACGGCAGCACTCATGCACGACGAGGTGACGCGGCACGCACGGAGCGGCAAGGCGAGGCAGGGAGAGGGCTGACCTTCTCGCCATCGTCGTTGGTTCGACAGCGCCCCTCCATGCTCTCCACTAGCGCCACTGGCACCTGCCATGCCATGCCATGCCATGCCATGCCATGCCATGCCATGCCATGCCATGCCATTCCATGCCATGCCCCGCCCCATACCCCATGCCACGTCACAACACACCACCACCCACGCCACGCCACGTTATTCCATGCCATGCCGCGCCATCCAATACCATGCCATGAGACACATGATGCATACAAGAGGCAATTGTTGAAGGAAATGGGTATCAGTGCCATGCCATGCGGCTGCAATGGCTTTTAAACAACTCTTCCAAGCATGCCTGCCTGCCCCTCCCACTGTGCCCCATGTGGCGCCCTTTGCCCCGCGTGCCGCCCCTTCCCCCACGTGGTGCCCCTTGCCCCATGTGCCGCCCCTTGCCCCATGTGGTGCCCCTTGCCCCATGTCCATCTCACCCCTATCTCTCAGCATGTTCCAATGCCCAGCCTGCTGCTGCACTCCCACGCCCCTCCCACGGCCCTGCCACAGCCGCCTTGCAACCCCTTTCTCATCCAACCGCCACCCTTCCCTCACGCGCTGCCTGCTGCCACTCCAACCCACCCACCACCACCCACCAGTTACCACCATCCCTCGCCCCTAGCCCCTCACCTCGTTGCCCTCGCCCTTCGCCCCTCGCCCCTCGCCCCTCGCCCCTCGCCCCTCGCCCCTCGCCCCTCACGCCTCACCTCATCGCCCTTCCCCAGGCGGCCCTGCTTGCGGATCATCTTCAGCAGCGCGTCGCTGCGTGCCGCCACGAAGTCAAGGAAGGGGCGCCCGTCCGACGGGGACAGCTGCGCGCGCGTCAACACCACCACCGCGCGCTTCCAGATCTGATCCGCGCAGGGGGGGGCACGCAGGGGGGAGAGGCATGGGGTGGGGGGCACGCAAGCGGCGAGGGGGGCGGGAGGGAGAGGGTGAGCGAGGGGCATGTGTGGCCGCTACGGCACGTAAGGTGCGCGAGCGAGCAGCAACAGTGGGATGAACAGTGGGACATACAAATGCGGCACGGCGGGCATGGGCGAAGATGGGGCGGGTATGGGCGAGGAGGGGGGAAGGGGGGGAGGGGGGGTGGGACGGGCGGGGGGGTGGAACACGCAAGACAAGGAGAAGTAAGAGGTGCAGCGAGGGGATGGCGAGGAGGGGAACATGGCGGGCGAACGCACGTTGCGAAGGCGTTGGAGATGCCCTGGGCAACGAGCGAGTCGATGGTGTCCACTCGGTACGCGTCCAGCCGGTCGACATACAGCAGCACGTCCACCGTGCGACCCACCAGCGCTCTGAGGTCGGCGGGAAGGGGGTGGGTTGGAAGGCGCGGGGGGGAGGGGGGGGAGGGGGGGGGGGCATTGAGATGAGCGAGTCGATGGTGTCCACGCGGTACGCGTCCATGCGGTCCACATACAGCAGCACGTCCACAGTCCGCCCCACCAGCGCTCTACGGTGGGATGGGTGTGGGATGTGGGGGGGGATTGGAAGGAGCTCAGTATGGTGCAGTGCGGTACGCGTCCAGCCGGTCCACGTACAGCAGAACGTCCACAGTCCGCCCCACCAGCGCTCTACGGTGGGATGGGTGTGGGATGTGGGGGGGGATTGGAAGGAGCTCAGTATGGTGCAGTGCGGTACGCGTCCAGCCGGTCCACGTACAGCAGCACGTCCCCGCTCCGCCCCATCAGCGCTCTGCTCGCCATGGGGGGTAAGAAGGGGGGGGGGGGGGGAGAGGGTGAGAGGGTGAGAGGGGAAAGGGGGGGGGGTGAAAGCACGAAGGGCGTCGAGGCAGTCGACGTACAGCAGTACGCCCACCACCCGCCCCATCAGCGCTCTGCTCGCACCAAGGGACGGAGAGGGGGGAGGGGGTTGTGGGGAGACTGATAGCATCAAGGGCGTGCCGCTCCACGCTCCGCCTCACCAGCGCTCTGCTCGCCATGAGGGGGGGGGGGGGGGGGGGGGGGGGGGGGGGGGTGCGGAAAGGGTGGGTGTTGGAGAAAAAAGGGAGGGGGAAGGGGGATTGAAAGCACGAAGGGCGTCGAGGCGGTACATGTAGAGCAGCACGGCACGTCCACGCTGCGCTGCGCCCCACCAGCGCGCTGCGCCCCACCAGCGCGCTGCACGCATGGCGGAAGGACGGGCAGGCGGGGAGGGGGCCACGGAGGGCGGAGAGACGCAGGGGCAGCAGGGTGCGGCGAGGGAACATTGGAAGCGTGGTGTGTTGAGATGATGTTGATAATGATGATGATGTGCACACACAGAGCCCACCCGCATTACGCGTGCAGCGGACCCTCTTCTCCTCACGCCGCACGCCGCATGCAGCATGGCGCATGGCGCGTGGATGCGGCGTTGCGTGCCAGTGCGGCGCGACTCACTGTAGAATGGCGTCGAGCGCGGCGCGGTTGACGGTGCCGGCGTCGACGAGCCCGGGCGTGTCGATGACGTGCAGCGTGGCGCCGCCGTATTGGCGCACGGCCTCGCGCGGGTGGGGGGACGCCTGGAAGCCCGACGTGGGGAAGAGGCGCTCCCCCAGCAGCGCGTTGAGCGTCGCGCTCTTGCCCACGCTGCCCTTCCCCACCGCCACTATGGTTACCGTCTCCTTGCCCTGCGAGCATCAAGGCGCGCACACACAGGCACACGACGGCACGCACGCACAGGCACAGGGGCGCACACAGGGCAGGGCGCGGAGAGACGCGGGAGGAAACAGCAAGTGAGCGTCGCGCTCTTGCCCACGCTGCTCACCCACCGCCACCACCGTCACCGTCTCCTTGCCCTGCCACCCCGCTCGCACGCACACACGCACACACGCACAAAGCAGCACACACACGCAGACGCACGCACACGCAGACGCACGCACATACGCACGCACGAACAAAGGGCAAGGCGCGGAGGGAGGTGGGAGGAGTCAGACAGTGATTGGGACGAGCGAGATGCACTCGGACCGCCCGATGGTCACGACGGGGGAACCGCTGCGACACGAGGTGCCTTTAGGGCATGCTCGCGTGCGACGGATGGCAGAAGCTCGGCGATGGCGCGTCCTTTAGGAAGAACGACGGTCTACTGCCGCTGCATTCGCTACCAACGCCCCACACACAACCAGCTCCGATAAATCGTCGGCGTGAAATACCCAAGCCGGCAAGCTTCGATAAATCTGCTGGGCTGATGGTAGGGAGCCCTATGCGTGCCTGCTCAATTAGCCGGTCGATCGCGGACGTGATGACGGAGCGCGACACTTCCGGTTGTTGCTCCACCGCCGCCCACTCCTCCGGCTGTGCCGCCTGCGCTGCCATCGCACGTCGCTAACGGCGCAGCGTCGCTTCGAGTGACGATGATCCTCGCAGGTGGAGACGGTGAGCGCAACGAGCGGATCGAAATGGAAAGGGCGCTGCGACTGAGGTACGAGCTGAAGAGCGGATCAAGTGGCGAGATTATCGCGAAGGGAGAGAGAAAGTAAACCCTAGACCGCTGACCAGCAGCATGTTCTCGTGAAATTTGTTGAGGTGGATTGACTCGCTGAAGTGTACTCCAAGATTGTGTATCGTCAACTGAACGACTGTAACGAAATTAGAATCCTCTGACGTCGCAAATGCAGCAACTCATGCAACCCTTTCCATAGGTGCCCTTCAAAAATTCAATTGTTCGAAGATTCTAGAAATCTACTCTATCCGAACCGCGACACCAAACCCTCAATGTGGTCTTCTCGTTTGGCACTACTCTTGACTAAGGTTTCAACTCTATGCGAGCTTTACTCTTCGCGTTTCCAACGTATCGCGTCTCTGTCGTTTGCCGCGCCAGTGTATTTGCGACTAAAGCTTGCGAACCGGCGGAACCCCTTGAATACGAACGTGAGCCCGTCACGCATCGCGTTCTGGTCGGCTTTGCAACAACTCTTCGCGCCTGTAGCAGCTAGGTACGCGCGCCGTCGTCGCGCGGGCGTGCATGGCGGAGCACCACATGATGCTGGACCTGCAGGCGCGCGGCATGCACGCCGCGTCGCTGCCGTTCCAACCGCACCACCCCGCCGCCCTCGCGCACGTGCACCCGCACCACCTCCAGCCGCCGCTGCCGCCGCCGCCGCCGCCGCAGGGCCTTCAGCATCAGCTGTCGCAACACCCGTCGCAACACCCGTCGCAGCACCCGTCGCAGCACCCGTCGCAGCACCCGTCGCAGCAGCACCATGCGCAGCAACACCGCACACTGCAGCACCAGCCGCAGCAGCAGCAGCAGCAGCAGCAAGGCCTTGGCATGGGTATAGCGCAGCCAGGAATGACTCAGCATCAAGCGCCACGTCATCATCAGCAACACCTCGCGCTCGTGCCACACCCCGGCGGAGCTGACGTGGAGGTGGGCATGGATGACGTGGACGTGGCGGAGGGCGACGAGGGCGTGATGGACGACGGCGACGACGACGACGGCGGCGAGCACGGCGGCGCGGGGTCGGGCGAGCACGACCACGACGGCGCCATGGCCGCCGGCGACGGCGGAATGGGCGGCGCGATTCGTGGCGGCGGGCCGAACATGCTGTCGCTGTCGTACCACGGCGAGGTGTACGTCTTCGACTGCGTGCCGCCCGAAAAGGTGCGCCGCGCGGGGAGGGGGGAGCGAGGAGGGAAAGGGAGGGGGGAAGGGAAGGGCGGAAGGGGAGGGGCGAAAGGGAGGGGGGAAGGGGAAGGGGGAAGGGGAGGGGGGGAGGGGAGGGGGGAATTAGGGAATCGGGGAAGGGGGGAAGGGGAGGGGGGAAGGGGAGGGGGGGATTGGGAGCTGTACGTCTTCAAATGCGTGCCGCCCGAAAAGGTGCGCCGCGCGCACAGGAGGGGGGGGCGGGGGTTTGGCGGCTGGCGGTATGGTCTGTATGGGGCAATGGGCAATGGGCTTCGCGGTTGGGGCATGGTCTGCCAAGGTAGAGTAGAGTGTAAGCGGATGAGAGGAGTGCAGAGCGAAGCGGTGGTGAGGCGGTGCATGGTGAGGTGAGGGCTGTCGCGTGGGGCTGGAAAGGTGTGTTGGAGGGATGCCGTGCCTTCATGAAATATGTGCGGGCATTAGGCGTTTTAGGGGCAAGTATTGCCATTGCGCTAGCTATTGCACATGAGGGAAGGCAGTGCTCTTGTACTCTTCTGAACCCCTGCTGCCTTGCCCTGTGTGCTGTCCCCCCCTGTTGCCCTGCGTGCTGTCCCCCCTGCGCGCTGTCCCCCCTGCGTGCTGTCCCCCCTGCTTGCTGTCCCCCCTGTGTGCTGTCCCCCCCTGTTGCCCTGCGTGCTGTCCTCCCCTGCGTGCTGTCCCCCCCTGTTGCCCTGCCCTGTGTGCTGGTCTCGCTGTGGTGCAGGTGCAGGCGGTGCTGCTGCTGCTGGGAGGCAGGGAGGTGCCGCCATCCATGGCGGGCAGTGTGCCCCAGCACCACTTCAAGGTGCCCGCCTCCCACCCTCCCTCTCCCCCTCCCCCTCCCCCTCCCCCTCCCCCTCCCCCTCCCCCTCCCCCTCCCCCTCCCCTCCCTGGTAACGAGGTGACTTTTGAGTCGACTCAAAAGCCGCCATCCATGGCGGGCAGTGTTCCCCCGCACCACTTCAAGGTGCAACGCGCCCACCCTCCCCCTCTCCCTCCCGCCCTTCCGCCCTCTTCCCGTCCTTTCTATCTCATGCCCTCCTCTACTTCCCGCCCCTTCCATGCCTATCTCATTCCCACTCCCTTCCTTCCTTCTCGTTGTCCCACCTGCGTCCCTCCTTCCCCTTCACTCTCCCTCGTCCATCCCTCCGTTCCTCCCTCCCTCCCTCCCTCCCTCCCTCCCTCCCTCCCTCCCTCCCTCCCTCCCTCCCTCCCTCCCTCCCTCCCTCCCTCCCTCCCTCCCTCCCTCCCTCCCTCCCTCCCTCCCTCCTTCCCTCCCTCCATAATTTTCTCTCTTCTTATTAGTAACTTTTATCTTTTTTCTCCCTCCCCCTTGGCATCGTCCTCCCTCCCTCCCACTGTGTACCTTTCACCCCACTTCTCACACTCTTAGACCTCCCTTCTCTCCTATCTTCCTCTCTCAGCATGTCCCCTCGCCTTCCTCCCTTCTTTGCACGCGTCCCTCCATCCCGTCGGCAGCATCTGGGCGGGGGAGTGAGGGGCGACCTGCAAGTGCGCCTAAATCCTCTCCTCACACCCTTCGCCCCCTTCCGTCTCTCTTACCTTCCGCTCTTATCTCCACATGTCCCCCTGTCCTGCCGGCAGCATCTGGGGGGGGGGGGGGGGAATGGGGGGCGACCTGCCGGTGCGGCTGAACCCTCTTGGCCCCACCTGTCTCTCTTATCGTCCTCTCTCCATACGTTCCCCCATCCTCCCTGTCATGCACACAACCCGCCCATGGCCGGCAGCATCTGGGCGGGGGAGTGGGGGGCGACCTGCCGGTGCGACTTCTCCTCACAGCCTTCGCCCTCCCTTCACTCTCTCTTATCTTCCACTCTCCATATGTCCCCCTGTCCTGCCAGCAGCATCTGGGGGGGGGAGTGGGGGGCGACCTACCGGTGCGGCTGAACCAGCCGCAGCGTCTGGCGTCGCTCAACCGCTTCCGGGAGAAGCGCAAGGAGCGCAACTTTGACAAGAAGATCCGCTACAGCGTGCGCAAGGAGGTGGCGCAGAGGTGAGATATCTATTTTACACGGAGTTTTGTGACATTGTAAGCAGGTTCGGTTTAGGTCATTTTTTAAATATGACAATATGTGCCATTTTCACGGGAGGAGAGCGATTTTAGCATGGGCGTTGCCAAGAACAGTTGAAATTTGTTTTAAATTCGCTCTTTAATGCTGACGTGTGCTGTAGCGTGGTTTACTGTAGTTTTTTCTCTGGGCACATGGGGTGGCGCATGTTGTGTGGTGCATTGCATGTTGTGTGGCGCATGTTGTGTGGTGCATGTTGTGTGGCGCATGTTGTGTGGTGCATGTTGTGTGGCGCATGTTGTGTGGTGCATGTTGTGTGGCGCATGTTGTGTGGTGCATGTTGTGTGGTGCATGTTGTGTGGTGCATGTTGTGTGGCGCATGTTGTGTGGCGCATGTTGTGTGGTGCATGTTGTGTGGTGCATGTTGTGTGGCGCATGTTGTGTGGTGCATGTTGTGTGGTGCATGTTGTGTGGCGCATGCTGTGTGGGTCTTCTCTCGGGCTCTGCCTCACCGTCACTGTCGTTTCTCCCCCCCTTGCCTGCTTCCTGTCGTGTGCCTTGTTCATGCGCATGCACGGGAGGCGAGCAGGATGTGTCGCAAGAAGGGGCAGTTCGCGTCCAACCGAGGAGGGGGCAGTACCTTCTTTGAGGATGCGCCGGCCGACGTGGGGGAGAGCGCCGCCCACGACCGCCCGGATGCCGCCCCTGAAGCCATGTCAGCCGCCCTCGCCCCTTCCGTCCCTCCCGTTTCCTTTCCCCACGTCCCTCCCATCTCTCTCATCGCTCTACCCCTTTTCTTTCCCTCAAGTCCCTCCAATCACTGTCGTCGTCCCTCCCATCCTGCCATTCCCCACGTTGCCCCCATCGTTCGCACCACTCTGTCAGAGCGGTATAGCGGCAGTGAAGAGGAGAGAGCATTTGATGGCTTATTCTGTCCATTTCCCCCCCACCATGCATGCCCCCGCTCCCAACATGCTTCCGCCCCCTCCCAACGTGCATGCCCCCCCTCCCAACATGCATCCCCCCCCCCCCCCCACCATGCATTCCCCCCCCCCCCCCCCCGCCCCACCATGCATTCCCCCCCTCCCAACATGCATGCCCCCCCCCCACCATGCATCCCCCCGCTCCTAACATGCTTCCGCCCCCTCCCACCATGCATGCCCCTCCTCCCCACCATGCATGCCCCCCCCCCAACCATGCATGCCCCTCCTCCCCACCATGCATGCTCCTCCTCCCCTCCCCACCATGCATGCCCCCTCCCCACCATGCTTTCCCCCCCTCCCAACACGCTTCCCCCCTCTCCCACCATGCATGCTCCTCCACCATTCATGTCCCTCCCTCGCACCACCATGCACGCCCCTCCCCCCACCGCCACGCGTGCAGCTGCCAGCACTGTGGCACGGGGGAGAAGGCCACTCCCATGATGCCCCTCCCACCATGCATGCCCCTCCTTCCCACCATGCACCCCCACCCCCCCCCCCCCCCAAACCATCCATGCCCCTCCCTCCCCCCCCCACCTCCATGCTCGCAGCTGCCAGCACTGTGGCACGGGGGAGAAGGCCACCCCCATGATGCGCCGCGGGCCACAGGGGCCACGCACGCTCTGCAACGCATGCGGGCTGATGTGGGCCAACAAGGTGCGTGCGGGCTGATGTGGGCCAACAAGGTGCGTGCGGGCTGATGTGGGCCAACAAGGTGCGTGGGGGCTGATGTGGGCCAACAAGGTGCGTGGGGGCTGATGTGGGCCAACAAGGTGCGTGCGGGCTGATGTGGGCCAACAAGGTGCGTGGGGGCTGATGTGGGCCAACAAGGTGCGTGGGGGCTGATGTGGGCCAACAAGGTGCGTGCGGGCTGATGTGGGCCAACAAGGTGCGTGCGGGCTGATGTGGGCCAACAAGGTGCGTGCGGGCTGATGTGGGCCAACAAGGTGCGTGGGGGCAGTGGAGTTGAGTGGGCGAGCACACGAGGGGGGAGGGAATCGCTGTGCAACGAGGGTGCTCCGCACATGAGGGGGCGAGCACATGAGGGGGCGAGCACATGAGGGGGCGAGCACATGAGGGGGCGAGCACATGAGGGGGCGAGCACATGAGGGGGCGAGCACATGAGGGGGCGAGCACATGAGGGGGCAAGCACATGAGGGGGCGAGCACATGAGGGGGCGAGCACATGAGGGGGCGAGCACATGAGGGGGCGAGCACATGAGGGGGCGAGCACATGAGGGGGGAGGGAGTTGCTGTGCAACGAGGGTACTCTGCTTTGCCCTGCCATCTCTCCACCTGCCCTGCCGTCTCTCCACCTGCCCTGCCGTCTCTCCACCTGCCCTGCCGTCTCTCTACCTGCCCTGCCGTCTCTCCACCTGCCCTACCGTCTCTCCACCTGCCCTGGCGGCTTTCCTCCTGTCCCGCGAGCACTGCTGCCCTGCCTGCCCCTCCACCACCACTCGCCTGCCCCTCCACCACCACTCGCCTGCCCTACTCCCGAGCTCTTGCACAGTGCCGCGTCACGGCACACTTTGCTGTCTTCTCACCTGTTTCCTTCCTTCGCCTCCCCCAATCTCCCCCCCCCCCCCTCTCCTGTACCCATTTCTCCCCTCTCCTCTCCTCATAACCCTCTTCCTCCCCTTGTGCCATACAGGGTGTACTGCGGGATCTCAGCAAGGGCCCGCCCGCCATCCCTGTGCTCTCCTGTACACCTACCTTCCCCTCTTCTCCCCCTCACCCGCCTCCACCTCCCCCCCTTCCCCCCTTCCCCCCTTCCCCCCTTCCCCTCACACAGGGTGTGCTACGGGACCTGAGCAAGGGCCCGCCTGCCATCCCCGTGCTCTCGGCGCTGCCATCCGCGCCAGCAGGGGTGCAACCTGGAGCTGCAGGGGCGGCAGCGGCGGCAGGGGTGGCAGGGGCGGCAGCAGGCTCTGCAATGGCAGCGATGCATGGCATGGCGGCAGGCATGGGGGCAGGTGTGGGGGCAGGTGTGGGGGCAGGTGCAGAGGCGGAGGCAGAGGCAGGTGGGGGGGCAGGCTTGCAACATCAAGTGGCGCAGCAGGGAGAGCAGCAAGAGCAGGTGGTTGAGGAGGCAGCACAGCAGCAGCCGCACTTCTTGCAACAGGTGGGTAAACCGTAAAACCCCTCTCGCCCGGTTTAGGAATGCTGGAGGTACGTCGAAAAGCGCAGTGGAGAAGATCCCAAGCTTGCATCTCTGAACCCTTAAGGCCGCGAGGGAGTTCTGCTGTCGCAACTCTGCACTTGCACATTGCAAGTACTCCCCTTCCCCGGCCCTTTTCGTTGGTAGCTTGCTTTTGAGGCGCCTCAAAGCTCGCCGCATTTCTAGTGAATGGTCCGCTCCGCTGCGAGCATGAGGTGAAAGCGATGCTGGCAGGCACGTAGGTTTGCACTGTGCTCAATTCTTGTGCCACGTGTGCCACCTATCCTACATGTGCCTCGCACCCCACTGCTCCGCCCAACCTCTTGCCTGCCCACGTGTGCTTCACCTTTGCTGCCGCAGAGACCATCCGCTTCTCCAACTTCACCCCTCACTGCCACCCCTCACCGTCACCATCTCGTGTGTGCCACTGCCCCTCCCCCCGGCCAGGGCCCTGCGAGCGCCGCTGCTGGGGCAGCAGACTGCCACGCAAGTGGGGTTCCCCGCCCAGCCCGCCCACCCGCCCCCCCACCGTCATCCTATCATACGTGCCTCTGCCCCTCCTCTCCTGCGCAGGGCCCTGCAAGCACTGTTGCTGTGGCAGCAGACGCCACAGAAGTGGGGTTCCCCGCGCAGCCCGCGCGCCTGCCCGCGCACCACCTGCAGCACCTGCACCACCTGGGCTTGGGCGGTCAGCACGCGGGGGAGGAGGTGGCACAGGAGCAGCAGCAGCAGCAGGAGGGGGGGTGGAGGAGGAGGAGGATCAGAAGGGCCAGGAGCAGGAGCAGGAGCAGGAGCGGGCGACTCATGAGCAGCATTTGTCGGAAGGGGATGGGCAGGAGCGGCAGGAGGGGGATGAGGTGGGCGCGCAGGGAGGGGAGGGGCAGATTGGGGTGAAGAGGAGGCGAGAGGAGGTAGGGGACGGAGCGGACGACACTGATGGGGAGGAGGGGGGGGTGGGGGGGCGCACTGGGGGCGGTGGGGTGGAGGGCGGGGCGAGAGGGGATGAGGAAGGGGGAGGGGGGGAGGGGGAGGGTGGAATGGAGGAGAGTGCGTTTGGCATGGGAGGGACCGAGAGGGGCCGTGGGGATGGGCGGGGAGGGGCGGGAGAGTGGGACAGGGAAGGGGAGGGGGAAGGGGCAGGGGAGAGAAGGGAAACAAGGTTATCAGGAGAAGCAGAGGAGGATGAGGAGGTGGAGGAGGGGCGGGAGCGGAGGGCAGGAGGCGAAGGGGTGGAGGAAGGGGAGAGAAGCGAGGGCGAGGGAAAGGTGGATAGTCCGAGCTAAGGCAACGGGTTGTGGGGGAAACAGGGAGGAGAGGAGAGCGCTCACACGCAAGGGGTTGTGAGGAACAGCATGAGTGCAGCTGTTGGCGTGGTGATTGCACGCTTGCCAATCCCAGCCGTTGCGCGAATCAAGCAGCAGTTTATCACCGCATTGCCTCCCTGGACTGCTTATGGCTGAATGGCTGGACATTTCTTCTTTTCCCGAGTTCACTCACTCCCACTTGCATGGAGTGAGTCGGTGCTTGCCTTAGAGGAAAGAATGCCTGACCGCAAGGGTGCCCCTTGCTCAAGGCACGTGTTGAGTTCAATTGGAGAGTAATTGAGGCAAGACAGCAACAGCACTAAAAGAGTGATGTGCGTGTTGTGCTGGGCATAACGAATCCTGTGACCTGTTGCAGTGCCGTTGGTACTCTTCATTAATTCATCGCTACAATATCCAGCCTGCTCACACTTGTTCACAAATTTTAGAGTCTAACCTTGTGTTGTACATCGTGCATTGTGCAAGTGGCAATGTGCCAGTTCACGTGTCGTTTTCTAAGCAGGCTTTTGCAACCAATTGGTAGGTACTGTCAGGCCCTCTTATTCGTTCTAGTTCGTTCTAGGCCCTCTGAGGAATCAACCCTAAACAAGTCCCAAAGAAGTGGAGTAATCACGCTTGCCTGCCGCCGATTGCAAGCTCCTCAACGACGTGCAGGCCGATGCCGACTTGTCCAAGCTCGACCCCGACATGCACGCCGACCTGGAGATGCGATGAGAAAACGCGTTTTTTACGGTGACGGTGACGTGGAAAGGCAGGGCAATGTGATGAAGGCCGCCATGGACGAGGAGATTCCGAGCCCTCTCACCAACGGCACGTGGGAACTTGGCGAGTGCCCGCGCGATATCAACGTGATGAAAAACCACAGGGTGCTGACAAAGTACCATGTCGATGCTAATGTCGACCTCGAAAAGATGCGCTTAATTGTGTTGGGCTTTACGCAGGTCTACAATGTTGACTACGACAAGACGTACGCGCTGGTTGGGAGCTACGTCACGCTACGAATCTTCCTCAGCATCATCTATGCCTCCAACCTACACCTAATGTAGCTCGGCATGAAATACGCCTTCCTGCAGAGCAAGCTTGGTCGTGTGCTCTACAGTACGAGCTCAACTACTATGATGATGGCACTGGCTGCGTGTGTAAACTGCTAAAGAGCTAAAACTTCCTCAAGCAGTCGCCATTGTTATGGCACTCAGCGCTCGATGTGATGCTAATTGGCGCTGGCTAGAGGAAGAGCCAGGTTAACGAGGCCTTGTACCGTACTTCAAAATTTGGCGACAACGGCGTGGCATGCTGGGTGCTCGTCTATGTCGACGACCTGCTCGACGCCAGCAGTAGCATCGCGATGCTGAAGGAGTTGCACGAGCTGCTAGAGGCCGCTTTCGAGCTTCGCAAGATCAACCCGGTCGAGAAGCACCTCGTGTTGGAGATTGTGCATGACCGACCTATGAGGAAGCACTGTTTCCGTCAGCAGTCCAATGTCAACAAGCGGAGTAGGCGCTTCATCCACGAGGAGTAGACCGGTCGAGTTATGACTGCGAGGAAGCACTGTCATTGTCGACGCCTACGTTGAGCGGACTTTCGACAACGATGACTTTGAGTCGCGCGAGAAAGAGAAGTACAACTACAAGGTTGGCTGGCTACAGTTCGATGCCATGACAACGCAACCCAACATCGCCTTCGCGTGAATCAAGGTGAGGTCCGGCTTGACGGTGAGGAACGACCAGCATTGGTGTAAGGTTTATCGCTATCACGCCTACCTCGCCGACACGTGCGATACGGCGGTAGGCCAGAAACAAGCAGTAGCACACGTCGACGACGCCAGCGACAAGCAGACACGCAGTAGCATGAACTGCTATGTTTTCGCCTTCAGCGGGCTGCCGTCTCTTGGACGAGCCATCGCAACAAGTGCGTGACGCTCTTGTCGACCTCGTTGGAGTACATCCGGCCAATGAAGCAGACAAGGAGGCTCGTTACCTTCGCTTTCTCCTCGCCGAGTTCTAGCTGCTCGATGCAGAGACGCTGACTGTCCTGAATGTGGACAACCAGTCGGCCATTGCGGACGCTGAAGGCTTGGGGCTCAAAGGCAACATAAAGCACATGCAGCGATGCCACTTCTGGCTTCAGCAGATGGTAAAGCGCATGAAGGTTGCCTTGTAATACATCCCGACCATCGAGCAGCAGGTTGACTTCTTAACGAATGCGCTGAAATTTCCGGTCTTCAACCAGGGCTCCGTTGCAATCTGCCAAGTGCGTCTGGTCAACATCGGCAATGACGACATGCAGAACTAGGCGCCATGTCCTTCTACACGGCTGGTGCGATGACCATCATCTTTTGTCTGGTGTGCACACCGACACTATTTTTCCCCTTGGATTATGTCCCTTGGGTTTTGGGTGAACATTGTGTGTGGGTGCCCAAGTATGAGCTGAGTAGGACATTGTTGACAGGAAGTGGCTCCATCCTCGCTTGGGCGAAGCTGACTTAGCAATCAAGTGCGCAGATGGTGCAGCTGAATGCTGTTAGTGGTCGATTTCGACTTTGGAGAGGAGGTCGACAGGCTTGGTCGACGTCCGCGGCACCAATGTGAAGCCGACGATGAGGGTAGCCGGCAGCTGACTTCAGCCAGGGGAGTTAATGAAGAAGTTGGTCGATCTGAGGGCGTCGACTTATGGGCGCTGGGGACCTTACTTGGTCGACTTGGTTACTTGGTCAAAGAAGTCGTGCGGGGGATTCGCATATGTTGTAGTCGACTTGCGCGCTGGTATTTTGAGGTCGACGTGGCACATCTGGCGCAACTGTCAACACGTCTTCAACTTGGCACCTGCGCCATTTGTGTTACAGTGCACAACGTGAGTAACCATCTATCTGTTCCTGCGAAGTAGATACGCGCATGTTCGCTATTGTCAATTGCGGTTGCAACGTTGGCAAAACGCCCTGCTGCAACGTTGGCAAGCCGCCCTAGTGCAGCACTGGTAGGTCGCAAACTTTCAATGTTGCCTCTCAGCTGTGCTGCAGGTCGAGATTGCGGTGCTGGCAGGCCGCTCCCGTGCTGCGCTAGAGGTCGACATGCCTTTTTGCTCGGCCATTTGGTCTCTCATGTGGACATTATTGCCAATTGTGTTTGAGAGAACACGAGCTAGTGCTACGATCGCTCATACCACCCATGCCTTCCTCGTAGTCTATCTCCCGGTGTAGAGTCAATCTCCTCACAAGGAACTGCAGAGCTTTCTGGAATTCACGAATTATCGACGTCGCTTCATTCCTGGATACGCATCGATCATTAGTCTAATCATCGACCTACTTTGGAAAGGCGTAGAGTTTCTTTGAGGTCCAGCGCAGCAGCTGACGTCCGAGTAGATGAAACAATCACTCACATCTTCACCGACTCTGCCGCGTCCGTATTCTTCTCGTCCATGCGTTGTATGACCGATGCATCGGATCTGGCCATTGGGGTAGTGCTTCTTCAAGATCAGGGATGTAGGGTTTAGGGTGCGGCCAGTCGCATACGAGTGGCGTAAGCTTAGTGGAGCCGAGTTAAATTACCCCATTCATGACAGGGAGACACTCACGATGATTCATCTGTATAAAGTGTGGTGGTGCTAGGGGGAAAAGAGTGTGACACGCACGAACCATTGTTCGCTTCGTTTTCTCAAGTCGTAGTCACAGCAGAGTCATCACCAGGCTAGATATATGAAGCTCATGGAGGGGAGTTTCCACTACAGGATAGAGTACAAGCCAGGTGTTTGCAACCCAGCAGATCCGCTCACTCGCCCTAGTTGTCAGCTCGCTGATCTTACAGCCACTACTGGCCATCCACTTCTCAAAACAATCTTTGAGCACAGTTATATAGTAGACCCCGACTTTACACTGCAGCTGCCCGCAGGAGCATAGGTGTAGGGTAATATACATTTAGAAGGGTACGCGACGGATTTGGGTCCCCGCCTATCGCCCTCTTCGACAACTTCTTCTTTCCGATGTTCATGATATAGTTAGTGCATGTCACTTCGGAGCAAATAAGACAGTCAAGATGCGTAGTCGCACATACTTTTGGCTAAGGCTTGCAGCAGTCATAGAGAGTTTCATTCGCTCGTGCGACACGCATCAGCATACGAAGTCCACTCGCCTGCGCAAATCAATACTTTTGCAGCCGATTTTGACCTTAATGGACTTCATAATGGCTTTATTGCGTACAGTTAGAGGTCAGGACGCCATCCCCGTCGTAGTGGACAAGTTCTCTCAAGCAATGCGTTTCATTCCTACGCACGCAAGGTTACAGCAGAGGAAGTTGTGACGCTGTCGACCGTACGAAGATTCCAATTTCATCATTTCTGACCGCGGCCCTCTTGCCGCATCACAATTCACGACGCTGCTTCTTGGGACAAGAAGTTGAGCGAGCTCGCTATAACAAAACACACACAATTCATCTACAGGCACGTCGCCATTCTTCGCACTGTACGGTCACCACCCCAGTTTTCCATTCGTGTCGATCTCACATTCAATGTCGCTTGTGCGGACAAGTTCCATCAACATCTCACCTTCATTCATCACCACGTGAGGAAGCACCTTGAGCTCATAAATGCACGCATGGCACACACCACAAACCTCAATCGTCATGAGGTGTCGTTTTCAGTCGGCAACCATGTCATTTTGGATAGCTGCCGCATGTCAGCAAGCTTAGTCCATATTTCATTGGACCGTTCGTCATTGAGCGCGCGCTAGGTCCGGTCGCATACCATCTAGGCCTTCTCGCTAATTTCTGCATGCACCCGTCATTTTACGTGTCTCTCCTTCACCCTTACACTGATCCCTACGCCGTCTTTTCGGGCCGTGACCATCTGTCAAATGATATATATGTGTGATATATATTGGTAGGCTGTAGTGGGGTAGATGTTGTAGGAGATAACACTTTAGGGTTTTGTTATTTGTACCAAACTCTCCATAGTGAACTCAACCTTGCCTG